GGCGCACCCCAGGCCTAGCTGCTTTCCTTTGTAATGGGCCGTCCATCCAGGTACATTCATTGAATGAATGTCATTTTAAGGATGGTTTGAAAAGTTTTCTTATTACACAGACAAAAATGCGCACATCATTAGTGTGTAGCTTGGCTACTTTTTATGAAGTAAACATTTTACTATAATCACCACCCAAAGGAAGACAGAGTATTATCTGAATCCCAGATGCCTTCTTCAGTACTCTCCCTGTTACCTCCCTAAGGCGACCACTATGCTGATCTCACCATACAGTCATTTTGTGGATTTGAATGACATAGATGGACCTTTTTGGAAGACTCTTTGTGTCTGGATTTTCTTTCTTTGGCAGAATTTTTACTGGGATTTGAACCCAGGGCTTCATGATTGCTAGGCAGGCGCTCTGTCACTTTAGCCACTCTGCCAGACCTTTTTTGTATTGGGTCTTTTTTTGGTAGGGTCTTACAAACTGTATGCCTGGGATGGCCTTAAACCAAGTACCTAGGATTACATGCCTGAGCCACGGTGCCCAGCTGTGTCTGGCTTCTTTTGTTTAACATTATGTTTGAGGAAATCATCTGTGTTTTTTCAGATAGCTATTCTAGTAGTTCATTCCTTGTCACTATTGTGTACTAATTTGTTGTATAAATATTTTATATTTTCATATTCATTTTATTTGTGTGAACATAGAATAATTTCCCATTTGGAGCTGTTTACTGTTAGTTATGCTTTTACGAGCACTCATACAAGTATTCATACAAATACATATGCACACATGGTTGGGTATATATTTGGGTGTAGGATCGCTGGGCCAGGATAGGCATAGACACTGCCTGTTAGTTTCAGCTTGCACAGGGTTGTACAAATTGACACTCACACCAGCTTATTAAGAGGAGTGCTCCTCGCCAACTCTTGATATTTGCAGGCTTTGTTTTCCATTTTATGTATTTGGTGAGTATATTTTGCCACTTTTATATTGGGCTTGTTAAGGTTTTGTCTGTTTTTAATTGGACAATCTTTCTAGTTCATTTATCAGATACATTCACTGTAAATGTCTTTTCCCACTGCATGGCTTGTCTTTTCACCTCTTGGTGACAGATTTTTTGATAAATGTCTGCTTTTGATTTTCATGGAACCTGACTTGTTAATCTTTTACTTTTTGGAGTAGTGATTTTAATGTCCTGTTTTAAAATATTCAGCTACTCTGAGGTCTGAAGCTGGTCTCTTCTCATCCTTTGACAATCTTTGTTGTGTTTCCCATTCACAGTTAGTTCTTGATCATTTGAGATTGTTTTGCTGTTCTTGTTCTTGTTTATGGTGTGAGGTAGGGATTCAGTTTTCTCATTTTGTTTTAAAGGTGTTCATGTCAGTGTTTATGAACTGAGTTGGCCTGTAGTTTTCTATTATTTTGTTGTTCTTGTGTTTTTATAAAAGAAGTTGGCTAGTGTTCCCTCGTGCTGTTCAGTAGGAGATTTGTAACTTTGGCATTATTTTGTTCCTTAGATGTCAGAAGAGTTTACTGATGAAATCCATCTAAGACTGAGGTTTTCTTTGGGGGTATTTTAATTGCAGATTCAATTGCTTTAATGGGTGGAGGGCTATTTAAACTATTTCTTTTTCTGTTATAGTAAGTTGTGATTTTTCTATATTTTATGCATTTTATCCAGATTTTCAGGTTTATTGGTATCGTAGCAAGTTGTTCATAACATCTTTCTACTGCCTTTTTGTTGTTTGCATCATCTAGACTGATAGCCCCTTGTTCATTTCTACTGTAATAATCTGTGCCTTCCCCCACTTTTTTGACAGTTTCAAAATTTTATCTTTTCAAATTCATCTTGTAGCGTTACTTTTTTTTTTTCTTTTGGTGGTACTGGGGTTTGAACTCAAGGCTTTGCACTTGCTAGACAGGCACTCTACTGCATGGGCCACACATCCGGCCCTTTTCGCTCTGGTTATTTTGGAGACAGGGTCTCAATTTTTGCCCAGGTTGGCCTGGACTACCATCCTTCTGTTTTATACTTCCTGCTGCGACTGGGATAGTAGGAGTGCACCACCATGCCTTTTTTCTGTTGAGATGAGATCTTGCTGACTTTGTGTTCTGGACTGGCCTTGAACCATGATCCTCTTAATCTCAGCCCAGACCATGTCTTCCTACGTATGCCTCCCATGTAGCTGGGATGATAGACACACACTGTATATCCAGCTTATTGATTGAGTTGGGGGTCTCACTAACTTTTTGCCAGGGCTGACCTCAAGCTGCCAACTTCAAAATCTCCACCTCTCTCACATAGCCAGAATTACAAGTGTGAGCCACTGTGCCTATCCTGGCAGTTCTTTTGTTAAAGGGTGAACCATCCTCTCAAATCTCTTAATGATGTATTTGTGATTCTTTTTTTCTTTTGTTTTCTGGACTAACTTCTCGGGAGTGTGAGTAGGGAATGCGGAGTTGGTGACTTTCGTGCATTGGTGTCCCCCAGTTGTCAGGTGATGTTTGTTTGTGGGCTCACATTTTAAAATTCAAGTGATTATTGGTAGCTGACAGGGATTTCCTTAAGTATGGTTAAAGGTTCCATTTGGCCCATGTGGGCAGTACTCACTTCTGAGCACAGGGTAAGCAAGTGGGCTCCCACCAGCCCTGAGGAGCAGCTGCAGAGTGCCCCTTGGTAGGCTTGCCTTCAGCGTCCACACACTGGAAACGAGCTGGACCGTGGGAGCCCTCGCGGTTGTAGGCGCAGAGAAGGGGCTACTGAGCCATGGTGGACATTCAGGAATTCCTTCTCTGCTTTTCCCTTGCCCTCTCTGTGTCCAGAGATGGTGCCCACTTTCCTCACTGACCCCAAGGGCCACCTTCCGTGGAGGACTCCTCACTTTCCACACTGTGCTGGCCAACACCTGTGCAGGTGGGAAATGACGCAGGACAGCTGATCGTACCTGGCCACCGTAGTCCATTACACTCCCATGCCTGGCTCTTCCTAACGTGAGCACAGAGCTTTTGTAAGCAGTCTGTTAAGGAAATATGATTTGCTATTTAGCTACAATCATGAAAGAACCATATTTTCAGTTGTTTTCACACAAATCCTTTCCCTTTACCTAAGCACATAGCATTCTTTACCTGTTTCACTGTGGATTCAGATTTTGGTTTCTACTGTCAATGTACAGACTCCATTTTGAGATAAAAATGGAGAAAATTATTTACATAAATAATTTAATGATTAAACTTAATCATCCTGTTTGACACTATAGTGGTTGTCAAAATAAATGAGATTGTGTTGTCCTACGTGAAGATTAATCCAAGTAAATTGTGGAGACCATGATATTTTTTCACAGTTTCTAAGCTGTGTTCTTTACTGAGAATTTTATTCCTGTAGATTCTTTGCTGTAGTGGCCAAGCGTGGAGTGAGACCCAGGTCCAAATCCTGGTTCTCCTGTGTACTGGTACTGACCCCTGATTTCAGCAGAGGGTGGAATGCCTGGCACAGAGGGCAGCTCGGTAAATACTGGATGAGTACAAGTGAGAAGTCACTTAGGCTCAGTTTCCTTATTTGTAGAACAAGTATAGTGATGTGTGTCCATTCAGTTAGTGCTAGGTATAATAAATTTTCTACAGAATCCTTTCATTAACTCAAGCAAGTCCTACAGCAGTAGTGGTTAGCTAAGTCGATGGGGCAGTGAGAGGAATGTGCCTGCGGTTCCACAGAGAGGACAGGATGCAGACATCAAGGGGGAAGTCTCGGCCACAGGGAGCATACAAACCAGTTGAAGAGACCGATCTCCTGACACAATTGGAGCACACTCCTAAGGAATAGCAAGGCCAGGTGACACACTCATGAGGGGGACAGTGAGAGTTGGATGAGTATGCAGAAAGACTATGGAGAAGTGAGCGTGGACTTGAAAACATGTTGATTGGCACAAGGACCATGGGGACATTCTCCAGGCTGTGTGGGTGGGTGTCTGGGTGCAGGCAGGCACTGGGTCTGCAGGAGACTAGGGGATTGGAGTAGAGGAGCCCCTCGGAGGGAGCATGCAGGAAGAGGGAAAGTGAAACTGATCCACTGTCACTTCACCATTTCTCAGAGACTTAGCCTGTTTCTGTTTGCGTGCACAGTCCAGAGAGGGTCAGAACTACTGGTCAAAGGACGGCCTGGCAGTGTTTTACTTTGAGGAGTCTACGTTGACTTTTGTGTTGTTGTTCTATCCAAAGATGATGGTGTGAGCAGTTAGGCTTCGTTTTAGCAGATCACAGCGTAGAAAGAAAGGCTAGCTAATGGTTATGGGCTTGATTTTCTTTCTGGTAATTTAAAATACATTCCCTCTCCTCTGAGGAAAGGGGAGCCCCCTCTGGAATATTCCTCCTCGTATTTCTCTCATTTGCCTTTCCATTCTGCTCTGAAGCCAGTTAGTGAGTTGAGCAATCAGTACTGAAATATCTCTCTTTATTAATTTATGAAAGAAATTAAAGAAATATACTAACACCACTTAATTCAAGAGTGCTCATGATGGCACTCAAGTCACTTGAGACTGTATATTGCAAATAAATGACAGCTCTTTATGTGCCAGCAATGTGTATTCTTTCTCTTTCCTTCCCCCCTCCCTCCCTTCTTTCTCTCTTCCTTCCTTCTTTCCTTTCTTCCACTTACCCTTCCTTCCTCCTACCTCCCACCCCCTTTTTGTTCTTGCTAACAGAAATGGTATTTTTCCTAATGAAATTTTAGATAGAGCTTTTTTCCAGCATTACTGTCCCTCCTGTTACTGGAATGCCTGTATCAGTGCTCCAGTCGGTGCAGATGGCAGAATAGCTGGGATTAAATGCAACGTTACGGTATTCGTTCCATTGCTTCCTACTTTATTTGTTCTAATATATTATTCTTGATGGAAATTTCACTTTGAAAAGTATTATCTTTCAGTTCTTTGTTAAAGTAATATGACCCCACGCAGTAATTCTCTAAAGAAGGAATGGCAAATTTTTTTAATGCTTTTATTGTTTTTGTTTCTAGCTTATTCTACTAAGCTCAACAAATTTCCTGTATTTAATATTAATGATGACTTGAATGATCTGTGTACCAGTGCAGTAAGCCCAAATACCACCAAAGCCACCCGGTACGCCTTGAATGTGTGGCGATACTGGTGTATGACCAACGGGCTCAAAGATCACACGGACATCACCAAGGTAAGGGACTCCTGAGTTTACTACTTCTTTTGGACAACTTTACTGGGCTTCTAAGTGCCAGACACTGTGCTAAGCATTGTGAGGAACAGAGAACTGTTGATTTCTGCCTGGGGAAAATTTGAAAGAACATAAAATACAAAGACTATCTTTAGTACAAAGCAGAATTAAGAAAATGTTTTATGAATTCCCAGATCAGAAATATTAAGATGAATAAATTAGTTTGGTGAAATTAAAGAGAGAATTAATACTTAAGCCATATTTTGAAGGAGAGATAGGATTTCAGTAGAGTTACATGAAGGCAGCAGACTTCTAGGCTGAATGATGTGAGGAAGAGTGAATTTGGAGGGCAGCACCACTTCTCTGCAGCAGAGACCTCATGTATGGGTAGACCAGAAAACCAGATTTTGATAACCCTTCAGTGCAAGCTCAGTCTTACAAACATTGGAAAATTGCTGAAGTTTTTTGCTTTTGATCAGGAGGGACTTTATTCGAAAGAATCCTTGCAGGGTCCAACTATAAACATTGCATGCATCTTAGGGTTAGGCAAAAAGGAAACCAGTAAAGTTTTTTTTTGTTTTGTTTTGTTTTGTTTTTTGAGCAGGAAGGAAGGTTAATAATGAAAGTGGTACTTTAGAAAAATTAGAAGTGAGGAACAAAAATATTACTTAATATCCTTGACTCTCAGTTTTCTTCTTTGTAAAATGAGCTCTCCAGAGCTCTTCCAACTAGGAATATTTAAGGTTTGTGAATGGTAGGAAAAAGTCTTAAACACATGGAGACAGAACGAAGGGATTTTGATTTGGATATACTGATCTTAATCAGAGGTCCAGATCAACATGTCCAATGAGCAGTTGATTGTAAGATTTAAAACGTGATGGAAATGTCAAAGCTGGATGCATAGGTTTAAAGTCTTTCAAATAGAGGTCATAGTTGAAGCCCAAGGGAAGGTAAGAGTTTCAAGTCTGGATGATATACTTAGGGAATCCATAAGAGTTGAAATAGAAAACCCAGGTTTCTACTTATGGCAGCCTATGCTCTAGATAGTGTGAGCGGCCTCTGTGTTACCTTTGTAGAAGAACAAACGTCTTGGGGAAGGGAGGGATGAAACTGGAGAAATGAGCACTAAGCATATATGAAAGCAGGGTTCTTCTGGAGGGCACATTTTGATAACATGTCAAGGAAGGGAAGAGACAGGCAGACGAACTGAAGAATACTTTGAGGAAGGAGGGGGAGGCCCCTCCCAAGAGTCCTAAAAAGAGTCTGGGTCAGCAGCACACCCTGCTCCTAGTGGCATCACACACTAAAGTCTTTTAAGGGGAACATCCAAATATTCCAATCCAAAAAACTCAGGGTTTTTTGCAGATTGAGATAGTTAGAATATATGCTTATTTTAAAAATCACCAGCCATTCAGGAAATAAATCATTATAAGTGATGATGTTTAAAAACAAATACACAAGTGGGAGTAGCAGTGCACTTCTATAATCCCAGCACTTGGGAGACACAGGCAGATTGAAAGTTCAAGGCCAGCCAGCGCTACATAGTTCCAAACCAGCATGAGCTACACAGCCAGACCCTGTCTTCAAAAAAAACCAAAAAACCCAACAACAACAAAACAGATTTAGGCTCTAGGAACTTTAAAGAGAATAGATTATAAGCTATGTATGAAATGTGAAATGTTTACAGAAATAAAAAGAAGCATAAAAATAACCAAGCAGCATCATACAAGGTACAAGTCAAAATGACCCAGAAGATTTGAAAATCCATTGAAATTTCTATGTCTGACTGAGAGAAAGCTTCCAAAATTACCTTCCCATCTTAGGAACTAGAAGAGTGGATGCAGTACATGAAACAACGCTTGCAGGCTGAGCGGGGCGGGATGTGGTCCCTAACGCAGAGGAAACAAGTGAGAGAAGAGCAGGCATCTTGAGGCCGTCTGCCTGGAGGTACTTTCTGAACTTCAGTGAAGAGAATCAGAGTGTAGCGAGGCTGAGGATGGGAGTACACTAAAGAGAAATTTAAACTCATCAAAAAAATATGACAAAACCCAGAATTCAGCAATGTAAATTTCATAATTTCTACCATCCAATCACATTTTACTAGACGTGGGAAGATGTGAACTATACCCAGGAGAAAAATCAGCTCAATCTTTCACGTACAGCCAGTTTTGAAGGCCAGGTTTACCTTCATGCCAGAAACAACTGAAAAACAGAAAAAAGATATAAAGCAATGCAAGGCATTACATAGCAGGCAAAGAAGACTGTGACTCTGAGAGACAGGAGCCAAGCCAGGTAGTACCTGTGAAACTTCAAAAAAGTTAAGTAGGGACATAGATGTTTTTAAAAGACTCAAAATGCACTTCTAGAGGTAAAACTGTAATGTCTGATTAAAAATAAGCAGGTTAGACGCATTGTACATTCAAGAAGAACACATGTGAACTTGCATACATAATAGTAACCATGCAAAATGGAGCACAGCAGAAAAGGGAATTTCCGAAATGATCAGTGGGTTAGGTGCATGGCATTTCAAGCGACCTTGTGTACATGTAACTGGAATGGCTGAAGGAAAGAGAGGAAGGATGAAGCAAGCAAAAATACTTGACAGGTAATAACCATAGTTTCCCCAAATTGCTAAAAACTGTAAACCTCCAGATCCAAGAAGCTTATTGAGCCCCACACAAGAAATGAGAAAAAAGATAAATGAGTAGCTGATGAACACATGGCAAGATGCTCAGCTTCATTGGGTACCAGGGAAATGCAAGTTAGAACCACACAAGACTCGACTTCACCCCTAGTAAAATTGCTTAGCCAGTGTTAAAGAGAAAAACATAAGAGCAGCTAGAGAAAAAGATATGTTATATACAGGTGAAGAAAGACAAAGTTGAGAACAGATTTCTCATTGGAAACAGTACAAATGAAAAGATAATGGAATGACTTCTTTAAATTATTGAAAGAAAAATACCCTCAGCACCCCAGTGACAGTATCTTTCAAAAATGAAGATGAGATTGTGACTTTTGAGACCTTCAAAAATGAGGGAATTCAGCAGCAACAGAGCCACACTCTCAGAAACACTAGAGGAAGTGCTTCAGCCAAGAGGAAAGGGATGCTCCATGGAGATACAGGTCCAAAGCGAAGGAGAGAAGAGCAGGTGGAATAAAGAAAAAAACGCCCAGAGGATTTGATTCATCACCATTCATGAACCAGTGTTCAAGGAGGGGCTTTAGGCAGAAGCAAAACTGCACCAGATGAAAGCCTGGATTTCATAAAGGAACGGAGAGTATTTGAAACAGTGTTCTTAATTTTCAAAAGTGACTGTGTATAGCAAAAGTAATGGTGATGTGCTGCAAGACTTCTGCGTTACATACTCATGGCCACAGCAGCATAGAGGAAAGGAGGAGAATGAAAGGGCGTGTTACGGGGTCCAGCTGTCTTCGGGAAGTAGCCTGGTATTTGAGGTGGGATGTCTAAGTTTAAGACATATGTCGCAAATCTTAGAACAACGCTGAAAGTATGAGAGAAAAGAGCAAAGCCCTAATGTGAAAAGAAATAGAATTGCACACAATATTCTATCCAAAAGGAGGCAGGAAAGGAAGATGATAAAGGAACAAAGAATTGAGAAGACACAGAATACAAGTAGCAAGGCAGTAGACTTAATGGACTGGGGATCAGAAAAAAAATCAAGAACCAACTATGTGCAGTACACATCTGACTTTAAAGATTAAAAGAGACTGAAAATAAAAGGTAAGAGAAGGATGTAGAATAGAAATGTCAATCATAAGAAACACGGAGTGGCTATTAAAATCAAATAGATGTCCACAGAAGGAATTCTAGCATGAATACAGGAGCAAATTTCAGCTGGGTGCAGTGGTACATGCCTGTAATCCTAGCTACTTGGGAGGCAGAATTCAGGAGGATGGAAGTTCAAAGCCAGCCCAGGTAAATAGTTCATGAGACCCTATCTCAAAAAAAAAAAAAAAAAAAACTCATCACACACACACAAAAAAATAGGGCTGTTGGAGTGGCTCAAGTGGTAGAGACCCTGCCGAAATTTCACATCGAAGTCTCTATCCATAACGGAATTAAATTATAAACGATATCAGTCAATTACTAGAAAGTTCCAATACCTATTAGCTGACACATGACGCCATAAGATCAAGAAGACATTATAAAGGAAGGTGTCAGTTGTCTTGAACTTGAGCTAAATAAATAAGTTAAATCACAACTTGGAATTTGCAGGATGCAACCAAAGCAACACTGAGAGCCAGAGCAATGCTGAGCGTCTGTGATTCCAGCACTTGGAAGGCTGAGGCAGGAAGATCGTGAGTGGAAGGCCAGCCTGGGCCATAGTAAGACCCTGTCTCAAAAAAAAGGAAAGAAAAGTAATGCTTAGAGAAAAATGTTACCTCTTAATACACATCCTAAAAGAAGACCTAAAATGAAACAAAAAATGAATGTAGAAAAAATACGAATCAAGCAATAAAAACACAGTGTTGAAATGAAAACTATTTTGAGTTAAAAAGTAGGTTTGGATACAGAAGAAGAAATGATTATTAAGCTGTAAGAAAGCTGTGAAGAAACTATCTGGAGTGTCGCACAGATAGCAAGTGGTCCTAGTTACTTGGGAGGCAGAGATCAGGAGGATCACTAGTCGAGGCCAGACTGGGCAAAAAGTTAGCAGATCCCCTTCTCAACCAGTAACTGGCTATGATGGTGTGTGTCTCTGGTCCCAGTTTACAGATCTTGGTCCAGGCCTGTCCCAAAAATAATTAAAGCAAAAAAAAGGCTGGGATTGTGGCTCAAGTGGTAGAGCACCTGCCTAGCAAGATGAGGCCCTGAGTTCAAACCCCAGCACCACACACACAAAAAAAATCCTCCAGTAGCTTCCTATTGCTCTCAGGATAAATCCCAGGCTGCTTGCCTTATATGTGAGTCTTCACAGCCTGCTTCCACCCGATGGTAGACTGTTTGCAAAAGCAGCTACAGCTCCCTTCTGTGCCCACAC